AAATAACATTCCTGAGATTTAATGTCCCTCTGAGCATTGCTCCATCGTCTTCTCAGTCTCTAGATTTCATAAGGCTTCTGATGTGCCTGTGCGCCTTTGAGGTACCCTTGGTTTCTTCAGAAATAGACAAAATAGATAAATAAATAATATATGAATAAAAAAAGTATATAAATATTAAGACTTCAATTTCAAATAAAGCATAAGATGCACTGTTGGCTGATTTGTTTATTGGATAGAAATCAGGGTGTTTTTTTTAATGAGACTGAGAGGTTCATTGGCGGATGGGGGTGCTTAGTGGGTTTAACCTCCCAAGAGCCGCAAAAATCATGCACAAAAATAGAGCATGCATGCCTGCTGATCCCCTTGACAGCTAACCTCCCCCTCCTTTCACTCAAACTGAATCCACCCCTGGGTTTCGAAGTTGGCCAATCTCCAGATAGTTCGAACTTTCAGCCTAAGATAAACGCTATGGAGAAGGTCATTGGAACAAAATTCCATCACTTAAAGCATATTTCCCTGATGTTGCAGCCGATTATAAGAGGTTCTGAAAATATTACGTCAAATTTCAGGTTTCACTGATCTCGGGTTTTAGGCCGCCGACCCGTACCCGAGTCACAGGGAGAACTTAGCACTGTGATTGATTTTAGTGTTTCCTTCCTCCCCTAACAACTCGTCATGAATCATTACTTAATTTTCCTTAACATGGGTACAGAAACTCAGTCGAGTCAACTCTGTAGTTCACTTGCTAAAATATAGAGTATCTCCCAAATTAGAGGATATTTTATTTTCACATGAAGGCCTACATTTTTAGCACTGATGCCTCGTCTATAATAGATCCTGACAAATGTTGACTTTTCCTTTTTCCGAAACTCATAAATACGATGTATTTTTTTAAATGGATATTAGGCAGTGATTGAATGAAATCTATTTAACATTATCACGACAAAGTATCAAAGCCTAGATCTTAATGAAGGTTAAGTTGTTTTAGCTTTCGCTATTCATTCCGAATACGCAATGACATCAAGGGTTCATATGGCGAACAAAAACATTAAACGCATTGGCAATAGCCACTAGCCAGGGACCGGTTTTTTGTGTATTTTGTTTTAAAACCGAATTCAGGCGATTGAAAATGAAAATTGAGTTCCATATCACTTTTTTTGTTGTATCTTTTGTTTACATTAATGCACAGGCGTCTTTTGAAAAGAAATGTCAACCGTGGTTAGTGGCGTTAGAAGAGTCGAGTTGATTCACATGGGTTTTTTTACTTTAATATGGGGAAAATGTTGTTGAAATCCATATTTTCAAAGTGTTTCTAGTCTTAATCCAGACAATATCCCCCCCCCTCCACAAAGTAATTGACTTACACATGATTGCGCACATGGGCTTCTAAATTAATGTTCAAACAATAGTCGAGTTCAAATATAGTGGACATGGTTTCCACAAGTTTATAAATGGAACAGGACAGCGCCGGTCTCAAATAGGAAATTCGAATTTTAAAAGAACAGTCTGAGATGTGAGACGAACTATATAGTGATAGAAACGAACGATAATATATAGTTAATACAAATTTTCCAGCACCTTGCGGTCACATTATTAATCTTTCTAATTTAAATTTTACGCGTGGTTTTGTTTGAGTTGTTTTAAGCTTGAGGCATAAAAACTTTGAAGCTGGTTCGTAGGGGTGTCCTATATGCTTTCGAGGAATTCTCTTCCGATTAAAAAGGCTTAATAAAACTTATCTGCTGATCTTTCGATACGACAAACGGAACATGATTTCATGGGGATGAATGATTTCGTGTATTTCCTCCGACACTGCGAAATGTGTAACAAAGGCAGACTTTCAATGTGCGTTGGAATAATGTATAGCTTACATTATACATGTATTCCAGGTTTGACCAAAGTCACTGAGACACTATGTATACAAATTTGCTTAGCAGAGAGCTGTTTTGGTTTTTTTTGCTCAGCAAAAAAAGAAATGGTTATCAGCTTGAATGCATGTGATGTATATTCCTTGTGGCTGGTTCACTGTCGATTTTCGTTTAGCAAGATAATAAAGTGCTAATTAGGAGATGTTTTCCTGAAAAGCGCCATGACATTCGGTCCTGGTGGACCATTCATGCAGATAATGATCATGGAAATGTACGATAAGTCAGTGTATGCCAGACACGCACTTTCCGTCCTGTTACTGGAAAGTTAATGATGGTAAATTCACTTCCCATAAGATTTTTTGACAGATGATAACTGGAAATAATTCAAATTCTTATACCTATTCATGATGTAATATTGTAATCGCCACTTTAGACGGCGGTATTGCATTCTGTGCAAGTTTCCAATCGGAAAACGTGGTGTCTGTGTGCACTCATAACATAATGGCGGTAGTACAGGGTGGTGTAAAAAGAAGGAAACCCACTTTGACAGGAATTGTTACCTACTTACTTAACTTATTTGAACTGGTTTTTTTTTATAATGTAGTGAAGTATAGCTCTTGAAACATAGGCCTACATGGTGAAAAAAATCTTTAAAAAATCGCAAGAATAATGTTATTATGCTAATTTAAATACAAGTCACCAAAATCACTGTTGTCCACGCGTAAGTCTAGTGTAGCGGTTTTTTTTGTTTGTTTTCAAATCAAGCTCCGGAGCTCAGTCAAGCAGATGGATTAAAGCCGTCCGTGGACAAACAGGTTTGGCACATGAAATTTTAAAACTACCATATCTCAGAGACAAAATATGCGTTTGCAATCATTTATTCGTCACTTATGTTTAGAGATCAATTTTTAATACCATTAAATTGAATTTTTGAAATATGCTGAACAAGTAGGTAAAAATTGCTGTCAAAAGTGGGTTTCCTTCTTTTCGCACCACCCTGTATATTATAAAACACTCGCCGGGTCACTGTCTTCACATTGTCGTTTTCGTTCAGAGATAATCGTTTTCGGCCTTTCACTTATAAATCAAAAACAACAAATAGGTGTGTCGGGAATTGTTGCTGGGACCCGCGCCCCTTTAAGTACTCAGTTGATACAATGCAACTGTTGAGAGCGATTATTATCTCCTCGTAAACATGTCTGCGCCGAAATGGTTGAAATAAGATCCCTTCAAAAACAGATTGCTAATCGATATTTTGTCGTTCACACACCACTGGAAATATGTGATATGATGGCTGGTATGGCTGTAATAAACGTAACCGTGATCTTGCTGCAGCCGTTTTGGTTTCGTTATATCGATGTCACGTTCAATCAGAGTGGAGCTACATCGTGTAACACGAGCCATAACATCGCGTTTCATATGACACATGGTATTATTCCGTGGTAGTTATCACGCAAGCTTTAGATACATCTTGACTTTAATTACTTTTCCATGCATGTTTTTTTTCCGATGATGAGCATATTAAATTTTCAAGAATCTCTTAATTTCCGAAATTTCATGTTTTCAATTTAAGGCGCTCACAGCCTGAAAAACCTTTTGTTATGGGGTGGCGCGTTAAAGCGTTATGTAACCTATGACCCTCAGTTTTGAATTGAGCACATTTCACTTTGAATCGTGTGTGCGGTCAAGTATACAGGGTGGTGCGAAAAGAAAGAAACACACTTTTGACAGCAATATTCAACACTTGTTGAGCATATTTTCAAAAATTAAATTTAATGGTATTAACATATTGATCTTTAAACACGAGTGACGAAAAAATGATTGCAAATGTAGTTTGTCTGTGAGATATGATAGTTTATAAATTTCATGTGCCAAACCAGTTTGTCCAAGGACGGCTTTATTTCATCCGCTTGACTGAGCTCCGGAGCTTGATTTGAAGACAAAAAACCCACTACACTAGACTTACACGTGGACAACAGTGATTTTGGTGACTTGTATTCAAATTTGCATAATAAGACTATTCTTGCAATTTATATAAGATTTTTTTTCACCATGTATGGTTGAAGAGGTATACTTCACTACATTATTAAAAAAAAAGTGCGAAGAAGTTAAGTAATTAGGTTAAAATTCCTGTGAAATGTGTTTGTTTTTACTGGCTGATGGCGTATGCATTTATAAAAATTGGCATAAGATTAGAGGCCACATTGATCCCCCTCCCCCATTGCCTGAAAAATTATGAATGAGTATACGAATCATGAATATTGTAGATGGCCAAGAAAAAAATAAATTCTTAAAATGTAAAGAAAACTCATTTGTTGAACTTAACAAATAACAAAGAAGAGAAATATAACTTGTATTTTGATAGAATCTTTATATTTCACCGGCTAGATGCTTAAAAGTGCGTGAACTTTATTATATTTGTTACCGAGTGTTTCGATTCAAGAACCCTCTTTTATTTATAATTCCATCCAGTACAAACAAATAGGACTATGTTAACATGAAATACTAGGCAGGCAGTGGAAGTTGATTGAAACAGCTAGACTTTTTCTTAAAATTGCATTCTCAATTAATGCCCTTGACGTTTAAGGCAAGTTAAGCTCACCCAACCCCCATTTTTTTTTGCACAGAAAATCGCCAGAGATTTGTGACTTTATTTTTAACCTGCCGAACTGTGACGGTTGAATGAAAGTAAGAAAACGGAGTGATAGATCGTGCACACATTTTCTCAAAGTGTACGAAGCCGTGTTTATTCAGCTCGTGTGAAGGCGGCTGTTGGTTATCGCTTGTGTTATCTGTCATTTATGAAGAAAAATGAGGCACGCTCGCGAAATTTATCCGAGATCGGAAGCAGCGTCAACTGTTAAAACGTTAACCGTGTCCCGGTTGGGGTTTGTGTAGAGACGACAAATGGACGTCGTGCACTCTCTTGTATTTTGTAGATCAAAAATCTAGAAATCGGGGGATTTGGAACGCAATTTGACAAAGCATCCTCCTTCATGCATCCAAGTGAGGTATTTAAGGTTACACACGTACGTTAAATTCAATACATTTCAAAATATGTTATATCGAGTTTTAAAGTGGGTTTTGATTTGATTTTTCCACCTTGTTTTCTCGGTTATTTCTCCGCAATAGTTAAGACGACGGAGTTCAACAGCGCGTCGGGCCAGCAGTCGCCGAGTGCTGGCGGCGGGAGTGTCAGCAGCCTAGGAGGCGGTGCCAACAACGGCCGGACCAACTTCACCAACAAGCAGCTGACGGAACTGGAGAAGGAATTCCACTTCAACAAGTACCTGACGCGGGCCCGGCGGGTGGAAATCGCCGCTATGCTGGGACTAAATGAGACCCAGGTCAAGATTTGGTTCCAGAACCGACGGATGAAGGAGAAGAAGAAGATGAAGGAGTGCATCCCGGGCCCCGTCCCCTCCTTCCATTCCTCTCTCTCCCATCACCATCATCATTCGCATCACCATCAACAACAACAACAACAACAGCAACAGCAACAACAACAACAGCACAGCGTGCATTCGTCTGTACCGGGTGCGACACCCGTGACAGCAATACCAGACTGTGAACACAAATCACCGCCCGTCTACAACGGCCACAATCACAACGGTGCCGCGGTGGCCGTCAATTCATCAGGGAGTTAGTTTGGCAACAGTTTCAATATTCTTTCTTTTTTTTTCTATTTATTTCAATTTTTATTTTCCAATCGGTCGGACGAAGTGCCTGGAGCCCCGATTCGGCGTGAAAGGCATGTAAAGCAAAGGGACAAGTCTTTTCATGTAAAGTGCAGAGGCAATCCGCGTCAGCCGCTCAGAGAGATTGTGCCGCCGCCGCGCCGTTGCGGCAATTCAGATCCCATTTTACTTTCATGTCGAGTTCTGTCTCGATAGTTGAAGGGGAAGCCAGCCCGTTGGCCCCGGTACCGTCTAGTGCAAAAAAAAAACTACAACAAAAAAATCAAGTTATTACCTTATGTATTGGAGTCAAAGGGGCAAAATTGAGCCCCTGGGGCCATTCCCCTGGCAAGGGCACGTATGATTCGGGCTTTTCAAAATCACGAACCATGGACACGAAGTCGATTTGGCTGAACAAAAAGCCGCGGTGAGACCACAAAGAGCGCTAAATAGGTTCTCATACGTCTCCAACTGGAGGGTTTTGTCTTGCTGAGAATGATATGCCTGAATATATACACCTGCTTCAATTCAGCTAGGGACTCGTCGCCTGTACACCCAGGCGCCGAGCGTACAAAGGACTCCATGTTGACGGGAATTCTCTCTTTTTTCCCAGATCGTGTTGTTTGTTGGTTTGAAGAGATGAAACACGGGTGTTTGGGGTCTCAGATCGGCCGCCCTGATCCACCGCGCTGACTGCCACACGAGAGAGAGAGAGACAGAATTTGAGTCCGAGATTTGACTCGTAAGCCCCGCTTGTCATGCTGCTCAGATCCTCTCAGTGCGGGATTAATAATCCCCAGATATATGCCTGTAGGTTTTTTTGGCGCGTTACTTAGCGCAGACAAATTGAACATGAAAGCAGCTTAATATGCTAGCCGTACGTGTAATATTCGGTCTGTCGGGTTTCTCAGTAGTTGCCATAATGGGATAAATTAAAAGATAATACTGTTGCATTTTTTGTCGCATGCCTGGTCTGGCCGGTGATGCATGCGAGCAGCGAATCTTGCCGCTAGCCGCAGAAATCAAACTGGCCAAAAAGGGCAAATAAAACGCATTATTATTCCTGGATAATCGAGCATGAATCACAATTGTGAGTGTCTCACCGCGTCCAACATTGATGCTCGCCCATCAATCGACCCGTTTGATCTATTGAACTATTCTCGTTCAGATTTAATAGATATGTGGTGATCACTAAAATATTGCTTTTAATTTCCACGATGTCATTTGCGAGGCAAGGTTTTAACAACAAAAATCGCATAATCCTGTAGGATTTTTGCGACGCGTGGATTGAGTACCAGTACAGATTCTTTTCCTAGGCGTTGACGGCAAAAGGCGCCCTCATAGTCAGGGGGTTAGAGTGGCCCCTTTTCCCCAACGAACCGTATACATTTTACCGTTAGACTGGCACAGTTTTGTCCAAAAACAAGCAAACAAAGACCTATCGTAAATTTCTGTCTTAGTACACAAATATCATGCAAATTGCAGATGCTGGTTATCAAACTTTACATACAAAGAAACATATCAAATTTATGTCCTTGTTTGGACGATTTAGACACCACAAAAGAACGTAATGGCCATATTTGATGTTTATATGTAACACGTCTCTCCGCTATGTTCGGATGCAACCTATGTTCCGTAAACATGCTGCTGCCCTCTATTGGCCTGACAAACTTGTCTGAATCATTTTGTATTTCACGTCGCAGCTTACTAATAAGTGACGTGTAAACCGAGTGCATTTGAAGTTGGACAATAGAAAGATTTGGTTGCAATCTTAACATTAATATGATGTATTGTACACCTGCATTAATTGCACCTCGACATATCCCACAGCAAACAGAAAAGACACGTCACTTCCAGATTTTTCTTCGGTTTCCTTTTCCAAACGAGTGGGACCAAAAAAAAAAGGCTTAAGCGTGTCTTGTGTTAATTTGTATTTCATTTTTAAACATAAGACCAGTGTTTATTTGCGAACCCTGATGGTATTTGGATTTACGTTATTGCCTTAAACTTCCAAATGGTTGAGATTTTAGAGAAGAAAATTAGCGAGATTCGAATCTACGATCTCTTGAATACTGGTGTCAATATTTCAATGTAACGTATTTGATGAATGTGTTTAATTCATTCACTGTGGGTCCGATGTTATTTACAAAGTAATTAGTAAATTGAACCGAAGGAAATTCATTTGCTGTAAATGAATATCATAGGTGCCAGATTAATATATATTTTGCAGTGTGTTTGAATTTGCGGATGGCACCAGATAATAAATGTATGTGGTGATGTAGCGCCCCAGCTACATCATCGTCCCAACTATAGTTCGGACTGTCCCAACTATAGTTCGGACTGTCCCAACTGTAGTTGGGACTGTCCCAACTGTAGTTGGGACTGTCCCAACTGTAGTTGGGACAGTCCGAACTATAGTTGGGAGAGTCCCAACTATAGGTGGGGTCGCTGCTATTGTTGATCATCTGGTAATTCTCAAGGTAAACAAATTAATGTTTACTTTTTCTCAATCTCGGATTACGTGTAAAAGTATCTGTCGTCGGCTCTGTTTTTTTCAAGTTGTATCCGAAGTTCATATCGGGGCATTTCCTCTCTCATTATCCCATTTCTCATAACTTTTTCATGCCTCTTTAATCTGCCATTCGCTCTTTTCACACTTCCGCCATGGACATGCAGAGCCTCGATCTTGAAACTGTACACAACAAATATAGCCGGTTCGGTGATTCCCGTGTCGGGGTTCAGATCACTGAAACGGCTATTTTTAAAAAGTTGCCAGATCGAGGCTGTGCATGCCCAATGGCGGAGTGTGAAAAGAGCGAATTGGAAAGAACAGTAGGCGTAGTGAAGAAAACTTAGTGTATCCATAACAAGATTTCACTACACTGAAAACTAACAGCGTAATTTAAAACCCGAAACATTGTTTGAACGTTGATTGCCACTTATGCCACTTGTGCGGTTATTGTTTCTCGGCAAAACAAAGAACAAATTCAGTTATTATCCCTGTGAATCATAATGTGCGTCGTGCATAACAAGTCTGCAAATCTTCCTAACCTGCGAACTGAGTATTTGGTATTTTCAGTTTTCAGTGTTTCATGAGCAGTGTTCAGCGACATGGACATTGCTGACATTGATTTCACGTAGTCGGCTCAGTCTGCTTATTTAATGGGCTTGACAACATTTCTGTGCCATTTTCACGTCGTTTCCTTTCCCTCGTTGCCAAAATGCATTGCAGCTTCCTCCAAAACTGGCCTCTTCGCACTTCCTGGCATTGGATCTTGCACGCAGCGGGCCCAAGCATATGGCTCTGCTAGCAAAGGAAATTGTTTTGCGTTAAGACTTTCATACTGCGCTTACAGCGCCACAGTAGCAGAATCTGCGCTAACCCTGTAACCCAAAATGCTTACGGAATGTATCAGTACAAGCCAAAAAACCTTTAAAATATGCTAAGCTTAGCGCCAAATTTTACGCATTGCTAGCGGAGATTCTTCCCGTACATACAGTTAGCAGAGCCTTTTGAATTGAGCATTGATCAAGTGTGAAGGCCATACGTCCGGTAATAAAGGCCGAAAATTAAAAAGACCTCTAAATTCATGCTGTAATTAACTAATCAAAATCTGTGTTGTCATTAATAAAGGGCACAGAAGGAAAGAAAGGTGTCAGTTTGATGTCATGAGACAAAACACAAATTCATACAGGATAGTTCGCAACTTTTCTACTAGAGTCTAATAATACCGTCTTTGTATCATTAATTAAGGAAAAATATTGATCAAATGCTCCTATGAAATCGTCATACTGTTTACATAATTGTATTAATTAAGACATGAGCAGATTATTATCGTTTCTTCACCTTTCAAACGCATTTAAAAACATAAACTGAACAGCAGAGTAAGGTTTGATAATAGACTAACAATAAAATCGGTGATAATTATGTAGAGAGGTTTTACAAAGCCAAATCAAGTAATCCACTTTTGTGTATGTAAATAGGAACGGATGAAGGGTGTGCAGCAATCGTTAATTGGGTTCTTACAAAATTGTCTTATTTATTTATTTATAATGACAATGACAAAATGTGTATGCCGTGCTTTCTTTGGTACATTTTCATGCCTTAATTATTTTTAAGACAAAAAAAAACCCAGCGAAGTTTGTTTTGGAAATGCACCAACTTGTCTGATTTGTATTATTTATGAATGAAAGCTTGACGTGTAAATACTGATTATTTTAAGGGAAGCTTCTTAAAATGAATTAAAAAGAATAAAAATCGATTTGTCCCTCTTTTGTGTATATTTTTTTCAATGGTTAATCGCAGTATTTTGCCAGTCACAATCAGTGCATTTTAAGCAGCGGTGTTGAGTGGATGGGGAGTTTCGAAACGCTGACTTCGTCCGACTTCGACTTGACTTCTGTGACTTCATAGAATCATACAGAAGTATTGAATATTAGAATAAGATGTTCGTATAAAGCAGAACAAAGACCCATATGAAGTCGACAAAGTCGGGGGCATGAAAACTCTTCAAGCCGGAGACGGGCAAGGTCAGGTTTCGAACGTCATCTTTGCCTAGTTGGGGGCTGTGAGGTCAAAGGTCATGTGCAGGAGTATCAACGGGAGAAAATATTTTTTTAAACTTTGCATTTATAATTGTGGTAGATTTGAGGCTTATTAAAGGCATATAGAGGATCATTTGCTTTTCATGCATTTTGTTTTCTTTTGAAATAATAACACCACTCAAAATACAAAGAAGAATGTTCAAAATCTAACCTGTTGAAGTTTCAGCTCGGTAGATGTTACGCTTTTCGAGAAAACAGTGCAAAACCATGCACGACTATTTGATCACGAAACACGATTTCGTTATTAGAACTTTCTATTTCCGACGATCAGTCAACTTAGTAATTATTAATCACCTACATTTCTTGATTTCTTCTAAACGACAGCTAGCAAGCCAGATGGAATCATTTCAAAGGAAAGTTTGGTACCATTATGGTCTTTAATCCAATAAGGTTTTGTTGATAATAATTTGCTTGTTTACTTTGCAAATGACCCTACATGCCTTTAATACAATAATTATATTATTTACACAGTTTGGCTACTGCTCCCAATGCAGGAAGAGGAATAGGGTGAAAGTTGAACAATTGTTTTGCTCTGGAGCATTTTTGGAAGCCTTGCGAAAAGCGTGGAAAACATACGAAAACTTGGCTAAAGTTTAGTTTCTGAACTTTACTTTTAAAAACAAGACAATTAAGGCAAGTCTGAATGCTGCTTTTCACTCACTGGAAGTGTTTTGGTCCACACAATTGGCCGGATTTAGCCTAGATTTATTTTGGTTGCCGGGTGCTACTACGGAAAAGCAGATTTTACTTCGGCTTTCAGATAGCCTTGGTAAAGGCGTTCGTCGACAGTGCCTGGCTTCTAACATCTTAAGTTAACACCAACCTCGTCCTCAGGGATTACTTTATTTTCAACCACGTGATTGTACTAGCACTGTCCACGAACGCCTTGGCCAAGGCTATCTGAAAGCAAAAAGCAAATAGCCACTTTCCGGCCGCCGAAGTAAAATCGGCTTTTTCCGGTATATGAAAAGAAGAGAAGTAGAATACACAGTAGTCAAAATGTTCGATCGGCTATTCTGCTTTTCTGAAATGAGAAAAGCAGGTGGCCACTTTTCGTCCGCCTGAGTAAAATCTGCTTTTCAGGGGCATAGCCTATATGGGAGGACAGCAGAAAACGAAAAAATCGAAAATGTTTCATCAGAAAAGCAAATGTCCACTTTATTCGTCCTCCAGCAAAAGGAAGAAAAGTAAAATCTGCTTTTCAGGTACCAGAAAAACATGAAAAGTAGAAAAATGGATTTTATTAAAAAGGTAAATTCTGCTTTTCTGGTAACAAAAAAAGTAGAAAATGGAACTTTCGAAAACGTTCAATCTACTTTTCTGCTATTCTGATGCAGATGCTCACTTTTCGTCCTCCATACACTTCGATACCACATCATTCAATTAACAACATAAAATATCTTTATACCCCAAATCTTGGAGCTATTAAAAGCTCCACGCCCAAATGTCCTGTCACAACCGAGGAGATGCATGGACCATAAGAATGATTCCAATGATCCCCCTATTCTAAAATGTTCATAGACTATAAAGGGGACTCGTGTCGCAAACATTATATGCGGATTGCATTGATACAAATCGCTTCCACACAGTGAAACCAGTGCTGGAGCAAAGGCTCTGTCATCCAAGGTCAAACGGGGAAGGCTTTGACCCTCAAGATCCAGGTCAAGGCCAACGCTTTGACCCTCAAGACCCAGGCCAAGGCCAAAGCTTTGACCCTCAAGGTCCAGGCCAAGGCCAAGGTGTTGACCCTCAAAGCCAAGGCCAAGGCTTTGACGATCAAGACCAAAGCTTTGACCCTCAAGGCCCAGGCCAAGGCCAAGGCTTTGACCCTCAAGGCCCAGGCCAAGGCCAAGGCTTTGACCCTCAAGGCCCAGGCCAAAGCCAAGGCTTTTTCCCTCATGCCCAAGACCCAACATCAAGCCATAAGGCAGCATTAGGGCCAAGGCTGAGCATCAAGGCGCTACATCACTGAGTGAAGCACTCACTTATCCCGGTGAATTATTTCATGAACGGAGTGACTTTTTTCTCTGAACGTTTCTTTAGTTGAAACATGGGGACTGTTTTGTGTTAAGAACAACTGGTATGAAGTAAGTTGGGATTATTATATATTGTAATTTCAGTCTGAAATGAATTGACTTGAATTGCTCTTTATGGCGAGGAGGGGGTGTTTTTACACACTGTTGCTCGTCACTGGTTTATAGAATAATTAAGATGTAAATCTAAGTAGTTCACGAAGAAATCAGTGCTTGATAGGCTTCTCACTGTGAAGAAATTGATACCGTGTAAAATAGGCTACCGCCCGATAGTCCGAAGTTCGATAGTCCGAAGGTTCGTTATTCCAAATTTGTGTGTTCGAACCTTCGGATCAATAAACCTTCAGACTTATTGAACCTTCGGACTATTGAGCAGACCCCGTAAAATATGGGCATGCAAAAACAGACACACAGACTGCAGTCAGTTGAAATTAGTGAAGTTAAACGATGTGGTGCAGTAGGGAACATTTCGCAGAAAAAGGCTATCAACATATCTTGGCTTTTCCATATAATAAGCTTGATGAGTAAACAACACATGCTTTATCGATTATAGAATACCGGGACTAAATTATTTCTTTGGGGACAGCCCGTACATTATAGTATACAAAAACCCCAAAATATCAACTTCAATCTACTTCCCCCTCTTAATCACGTCTGAATGCGTCAGGAACGAGAAATCAAGTTCAATTTAAGTGCGTTTGACAGCTCTCCATAATTGAATTACGGATTATATCATAGCATCTTGAAATTATGTTTGACATTTCGCCTTTACTCTGCTTCCTTGCGCCCGTGCGATCATGCAAGTAAAGGTAGGTCTCATTAACCTCAAGTCCCACTATTTGACACAGAAACCAAGCCACATTTCCCGCAACGAAGTCCATGGGAAAAGTGTTACCAGCAGAAGCAGCTTTTGGCGATATTTCAATTAATCCAGCAAACATGAGCTTGTTTTAAAAGAATTTAAATTAAGCAATATTTCTTTCTAATTATGTATCTACATACATGATCTTGTTTTTTTCGATTGTGTATCAACTGAAATGTATGTTTAGAACAGTTGAGATAAGACACTGCAATGGTTTTATGATAACCGGCTTACTCAAATGCAAAGCGTCGAGGATTTTCTATGTATGCGTTCGTCAGGAAACCTGTGCAATTTATCCATGCTTGTAAGTTGGCCTAGTTTGTGAAGCTTTTACAATCTTCACCCTTCTTGACCCCTTCTGGAAAGCCCCCCCCCCCCCCACCCCGCTCCC